AAAAAAAAAAAAAGAGAAAAGAGAAAATATTGCACCACGTTTGGCATGAAATTTTGGCTAAAGGACTGGTGCAGGCTTCCGGTGCGAAAAGCGACCGCGCGAGGATTGATCTTTCGTCTTCGCTGAAATTTCGCGGTGCACACCGAGTAAACAGAGGGTGAAGAAGGACACGCGATTCGTTGGTGCGTGTCGACGCACGCGTACACGTCCCTCACGATATATCATACGTAATATGCATCCTAGCGATTGTGGCATCTGCTTCGCGTGACCCGTGAAACGTTCTGCTCGTAATAACGCGATACGATTCCCACGAGTTTGCTTTGAAGCTTGATCGTATCAATCGTATACCTGTGCATCCATCAGTCAAACATTCGAGAGATCTTTCGAACTAGTGGTAAACGAAATATCAACGACACCGGTACTTTCGGTTGATGATAATCGCTACTGTGGCTGCTGAAGTTTGTAAATTTACGTTACGTCTGCATAGCGTGTCTTGACTGTATCCTTGGACGTTCGGTGTCGAGAAAGGAAACGGTAAAAGTGAATCGATCTCCAACCGTATCAACGAGTATCAGCCAATTTGAGAGTCACACCTCGGCTATTGTTGCTCTTCACTCTGTGCGAGAAAAGATAGTTCGCGAGACAAAGGAGAGTTAGAAAAATCTGGGCGCACCGCTGTAGCGGATTTTTCGCAGTGGCGGCAGATGGCTTGGGACCGTATGCATCGCGTCCTGGCCTTTGCATCGCGTTTTGCAGCATGCTACGAGCCCTGAAGGCTCTGTCTAAGTAACAGTACTTCCTCGCGCTCGGTGGAGTAAGCCTCTCTCCGAAGAACGGGACCTACACTCCACGGGTCCGCTCTCTACACTCTCCTCGCTTCCCGCCACCTCTCGCCGCTCCATCGAACACGCTCTTTCTGTATTTTCCCTCTCCTTCTATCGTGTCCGAAGTAGTCTGGCCGGTCGAGCACAGGGAGTCTCGTGAAACCAGTCCTCGTACGGTGGACCTCTCGGTCTTGCGACTTGGCGCGGAGAGGCGGTTGCTCGCTTGTTTCG